TTTAGAACTCTGGCCTTCTAAAGTATTTTGATATAACTTGGTTTATTCTTCTCAACACCTGTAACTGATCTTTTACATGCTTGCAGTATATCACATGGATATGCTGAGTGATTTTTCAATTATGTGTCATCAGGTCAATTTTGATTCTTAGTGACCACAGAGATAGACCTTTTCCAGGATGATATGGCCCTTCAGGTCTTTCAATAGTGCCCCATCACTGCTGTAATCAAGTCCATCCACCTTGCCCCTGGTTGTCCTCTTCTTCTTTTTCTTTCTACCTTTTCCAGCATTATAGACTTTTCTTGATGGCTGGGTATTTGCATACTGTGTTTGAAGTATGATCATTTGAGCCTGGGCATTTGTCCATCAAATGAGAACTCTGGATTTGTTCTATCAATTATTTGTTTTCTTGGTTATCCGAGAAAATATGCTGACCTTTTATGAAAGCTAATTTTCATAGCATTAGGCAGTTCCTATTTGGGTTGCAAAAACCCAGACAACCACTAGATGGGAGCAAAATGTTTTTTCTGTATCTTTTTGCTGTTATTTAGTGATAACTCAGATTTTTGCTACCCAGGTATGGTATGCCTACATAGCACTCCAAACTATATTTAGATGCAATGGCTGAAGCTTATAATAAAAGTATTTTGCTTTAAATTCCAATAAATGAAGCCAAGATGCTGAAAAATAAGATGATTAAGACAAGAGACAAACTTTATTTTTATAGCAGTGTTTGTAATACGGCTTGGAGTTGATGTGTGTTTGCAAAATTAGTTAGCTTACTCATGCATATTTTTCAAAAGTTCATTATAGAAACATGAGCAACAGACTTGTCCACATAATTGGTTGATCTTGCTCAGTATTATCTACACTGACTAACAGCCAATCTCAAAAATTTCAGGCAGGAATATGTCACAGCTCTCCCTGGAAGCATCACAAAGTGAACCTAGGACTTTCTACACACAATGTATATACTTAATCATTGATATATATCTCTGCTGTTGATATTTTTGTAGGATATATTTTGCTTGAAATGTTTTCTTTGTACCAAAGTATGTTGAATGTTTAGCTATAATTTGAAAACGTTAAAACTGGAAACTGAAATGTTGTTCCTGTGTCCAAAAAGATCTGTGTAAGAATGAGTTCATAATTACAGTACCATTCCATGAACTGATTTTTTAAAAGTATTAACTTAAATGCATCTTTCTACGTTGCCTTCCTGAACCTGGTGCTCTCCAAATATACTGTGACTCTCAGCTCTAACACATCTGGAGATCCACTGGTTATTTTATTATTATATTTAGATACTGAGAGACTTTAAAAAAACCCATAGTTTGCATCACAGAAACATACAAAACCCTAAAAACCAAGCCAAAGTATCAATCGACTACAGTGCAATAGGTGCTATGGTGACCATTTACTCCCTAAACACCCTTTGGGAATTTTGGATATTTTAGGCAATGTCCAAGGAAGATCTACATTAAACAAAAATTTAAAAACCTTCACTGTCCATTTTAGTGTTTTTGACAGAGAATTTAACATTGTGGCAAAGATAAATATGTATTGCCCTACATCTTGAATTGCTATGAAACTCATAGGAATCGCTATGAACTGAAAGACCCACAATTTAAAGATAGAAGTGTTTTGCAACCACTGAATCCGGTTTTCTCCTTGCTGCCTTCCAGATATGTTGTACTATGATCCAAGAATTCCCAGTTGGAATGTTCTAATCCATCCCCCTCCCCCAACAGTAAGAGACTCGCTGACAGTGAAACTCACCTCAGATTGAAGTCCCAGATATCTGGCATCTATTCTTTATGGAATGAAATGTTTATCAATATATTTCCATCTCACATTTCTGTACATAGGGCCCTCAAGACAACTACCAATCAAAACTAAATAATGAAATGAAATGAAATCTGATAAAAACAGTCAAAATGAGCTAATTCAGATTAAAAAGATCTGGCTGAAGCAGATCATGACTTTTTTCCTGAAAGTGGAAAGAATGGAGTGTCTAGACAGCTTGGTACAGAAAACCTATGAACATTTGTCATTAGTATAGTTTTGTACAAATGGAATAATAGAACAAGACGAACTGTACCCACTTAACAGAGATTCCATCATCGCTATGTATATCAAGTTCTGCTCCATACACTCATAGTAATCCTCCTTTGCAATGGTTGCACTAAAACTCGTATCCATAAAAATACAGTATCAAAAACACCAACATTAGAATCCAGAAATCTTGTGTAAATAAGCTAATATAAAAGAGAATCAAAGAAATGTGTCATCTCTGAAGCCTCTGACAAGTCACAGGATAGTCTAAATCCATCATCAGTACAGCCAACAACAAGAGCCAATTCAAGCAATGCATTTTCTCTACACAGCCCTATATATCTTCTGGGAAGAAAAGCATGAAATGTACTCACATGGTAGAACATGTGAAGAACGTCTCAAGCATAAGGTTTGTCAAAACTGCATGTTTTAGGAAACCATAATATATAGGAAGAAAATATCTTGGGGGAATCATAGTTGAGCTATTATAAGAGGTAACATAAACCATGAGTCTGTAACCAACAGTCCATAGCTTATAAGCTTTACACGTTGTCTAGCACAGTGTTTTTCAGACTGTGTTCTATGGAATCCTAGGGTTCCATGAGACTAGGGGAAAAAAGAAAAAAATTCACTTGAATGCAGCCCATTTTTCTACTGCTACAACTTTACTACTTGGCCAGGGATTCTGGGATTTTTTTTTTTAATTAGCAGATTCTGTGATCTGAAAAAAATTGAAAAATCCTGGTCTAGCACTCAGCAAATAAAAAAACTATAAAGTATCTATATGAGGATCACCCAGTCACTTAAAGTACTCTTGCAAATTAAATAAGACATTCATGCAAAGAAAACAATAATATTAATATCTCGGTGGTATGATAGCCATATCTTTATTTTACACAGACACACACACTTATACAGTGCATACTGGTAATAAGGTTTGGAAGTTTTTCTCAAGCCATAACATGTGTCATAATGTTCTACCACAAGGTGGCTCCTCACAGATGTTCTGTGATCACTTTTCTCCCTTAGCATTCAGCCAGCAACTAGATTTCCTTGCTTAGAAATACTATGGCCTGAATTCTAGTGATCCACTAGGGCTGAAAGGAGATCCGTTTATTTTTAATCTTTGGTTCAGGCATATAGAAACACTGGACTGAAAGCTCTAATCAGTATGTAAGGATGCATGGCAAATAAAGATCTCGCAGGAAACAGTTATCAAAATCTCTTCAAAAGCAAATTGTTCTCATGCTTGGCACATGACCTCACCCTTTATTTGATGGACTTTTGTTTTTTGTTTTTGCATCAAAGAATTAACTTCAAAAGTATCTTCTGTGTTATTATCTAACAATTGTGTTCACTGGATAATACTTTGATTATTGGGTAGGGTCCCTATGAGAAACAACCACACAGACATCAGAAGAGGGTTTCTAGAATTACTCGAAGAAGTTAGAGGAGACCCAACTACGCTCTTCAGTAAGTCTTAAAAGACTCCCTGAGGCACCCTTTTCCATCCACTTATGCAATTTAGACCAGAGTCTTTAACCGAGAGACCATTAGCGGGTATTTTTAAATAGATAATTTTATAGGTGATGTGTTCTTTTTAAAAGCACTTCACCAGGGGAAGGTGAAAGAGGGGGAGACTGACTTTCAGTACCCCACCCACCACTTGATTAAAGGACTTCGTGGATACGGCAGAACGGGAAACAAATCCCTCCAAAGGACGGCTTTTCCTGGAAGCGACTGCAATTGCTCATCCCTCCCCCCCCCGCCCCCATTTCCCAGATAAGAAACACTCCCTCGTGCATCTGCTAACCTAAGACATCTAAGCACAGCCACAAGAGGTTACAGGAGCTTACGATTCCAGCCAGGGGATTTTTCATTCATCAAATGCAGTGAATGAAAGCTCCCTCCAAATACTGCAAGCTGCGCGCTCAGGAGCTCAGCTTTTCAAAGGTAGCGACCTTTCAGAGTCCACATCCTCCTCCGAGAGGTTCAGGAAGAGCCCAAAAAAGAAAGAAAGAAAGGAAACAGAAGGCATCCAGTCATTGAAGTAGAGAAACCCTTTTCCCCACCCAGGCGACGACGGGTTGTAAAACAGATTAAGAATCGCTTGTTAAAGTGATGAAGTTCGGAATGGCCATGATTGCACGAATCACTTAGGGCTGACAGCAAGATCGTAGCTCCCCCCTCCCTGCTCCAAATATCCTCCATGCATGCTCTATTTTGCAAATACGCACATACCAGTTCCAGATTTTATGCAAAAACAGGTCTCTCGGTCCCTTAACTGTGCCTTATCGTACAGCTGCGGGGGGGGGGGGGATTGGGGGGGGGGGGGGGGTTTTTTTTATGAGGTTTGCAAGGTAATTTTTTTCCGCCCTCACTACCTTTGAATCGCCCTCTCCCTTTCTTCTTCTTCTCCGCCAGGTTCAGTGACGTGTTTATGACATTGGTTTAAAAATGAAATACCCCTCCATCTCTGAGCGCCCAATAGCTCGTTTTTGGCACACACCCCTTGTGCCATTGAGTCGATCCGGATTGACAGCCCGAACTATTTGCATTTGCAGACGTGCTAACCGTGAAAGCGAGCATTCGCCGCTGACCTTTCCGAACAATACATGGCGAAATCTTGCACATTTGAGGAGAGGGAGACGGGAGGAGAGGGAGAGACCGAGAGTTGGCTAGGGTTTCAACTGTACTGTAGCTTGAAAGGAACCACTTCTCCGAGCCCGGCTTAGCGAACGTGTGTCCTGCTTCTCGCAAGCAAGGACTGGAAGCCCCGCGTTCTCACCAGTGCTGGGCTCCAGAGGAGGTTAAACAACACACTCATGCACGGAGGATGCCTTCTTATCTTCACCATCACCTTTCCGCCTCCGCCGCTCAGCATTGCTTCGCACAGGTCTAAATGCGGCAGAGAGAGAGAGATGCTTCGCGCCGCGCGACCTTACCTTCTCTGGCTTTGAGCAGAACCGTGTTGGCAACTATATTCTCCAGCTCCATTGACAAGCTCAGTCAGGACGCTGCAGCGGAGGATGGGAAGCTTCAGGAGGCACTCGCGCTTGGCGTCTGACTACGGCAGCGCAGCACCAACCCCTGCCCTAGTGCATTCTTGCGCTTCGTTCTCTTGCTTCCTCCGTCGAGGTCCTTCCTTGAGAAAGAACCACCGCTTGCTCGCTCGCTGGCTTGCCTGCCTGCCTGCCTGCTCCCTCTGCCTCCTCCAGTCCGAAACTCTTCCCCCTAGCTTCGCGTATCTCGGTTACTCCATTCTCGGTGTCTACATGTAAAAGCAAAAAGGAAAAGCCCACCCTCTCACCCCTCCTCCGCTGGGAAGGTTTCAAATGGGCGGGCTTCTCTCCCTCCCTCCGCGGGGGTGTGGTACTATGAAGCTGGTTCCGCAGCATAGCGCAGGCGCCATGCTCAACAGCTGGCTCGCTCCTCGCAGCGATGGGCTGAGCGTGTCGGGAGACGTAGTTTTTTGTAAAGGGGGGGGGTTACCGCCAGCATCCGTTCCTTGCATTGCACATGCAGGCGGTCGGGCGGTGAGTATTTGAATGCCGATCAGGTTTTACAGATGCTTTCCTGGAGTGGGGGTGGGAGTTGTGGAGCAACTCCAGAGTATAAAGGGAAGCGGAAATGGTCTGTTGTTGGTTTTTTTTTTTTAAAAATAATTCTCACGGTTGAATGGAGGAAAGACCATCATGATTCATGATCCGTTCCAAGTCTGTCAATCTGCTGCTTTGGTTTAATGAAATAAGCTGCTCATGAAAATATTTTGACAGTTTCTCAAATGCGGCAATGTTTCCATGTGCACAAGTTTCTGTTAAGTGAACAACAAAAATAAATTATATGGAAGCCAAATGAATTAGGCACAATGCCTGTGAAACCTTTTAGCATACTCGTTTTCAATGAGCTCCACTAGCATGGTTTTAGGAAAAATAGGACCTGTTGAATTTTTCCTTGATGTACAAACTTAGTTTGTATGGCTTGCTTAACTCTGGCTGACTGAACAGTGATGTACCAAAATAAATTTTATTTATTAAACTTATACTCTGACACATTTTGACAACTCTGGGTGCATAAAATGTAACAACAGTTAAAACATCCACAGTATGGTTTAAACAAATAATGACATCAGAACACCCCCAATGAAAACAAACAAGTAAATAATAATAAAAGGTGGCATAATGCCCTCTGGAAAATTCCATTTTCAGTAGTTTCCTAAAAGCCAACAGAGTCCGATCTCTGTAAGACTATTCAAGAGCATTGGTGCTGCTTCAGAAAAGCAGCACCTTTCAGCCTAGCCCCTCTGGCTTCCTGAAAGAGGGAGACTATAAGACGTGACTGCTTCTAGTAGGCTGGGCTGATTCTGACTGGAGCAGGCAGGCCTGCAAGTGCCCAGGTGCCACATCATGGAGGGTTTTTAGGTCAACACTAGCACCTTAAACTATATCCGGGAACCAACTGGCAACCAGTGAAGGGTCCACAAAATCAGTATTATGTGCTCCCAATATCAGAAGCCAGTAAATAGACGAACTACTGTATTCTGGACTAGTTGCAGTTTCTGAAGTCTTTGAGGCCATGTAAAGCACACTGCGGTAGTCCAGTCAGGAGGTAATGAGAGCATGAGTTACTGTAGCTAGGTCTTCTTACACCAGGAAGGATGCAACTGGCACACTAGCCAAAATTGGGCAAAGTCCTTTCAGCCTTGGCCTCCACTGCTTTTCCAATAGGAGCCATAAGCCTAATTGCAAAGCTGTTCCTTTATAGTAATGCTTGGCCATCCAGCAATAACACTGGTATTGACAGAGAACCCCTATATACAAACATGAATTCTGTCTTACTTGGGTTCAGCTTCAGTCTCTTCTCTCCCATCTAGACCTTTACAACCTCCAAGCACTGACAGAACATCAGTAGCATCTTCATTATGCTAAAGTTGGATATTATCAGCACCCCAAGCCGCTGGATGATCTTACTCAGCAGTTTCATATGGATGTTAAAGAACAAGGGAAAGAGGATCAACCCCTGTGGCACCCCACATATCCATTGGGCTAATCTTTCATAGCCCATCACAATTGCCTAAAATCACCCATAGAGGAAAGAGCAGAACCACTGCAAACAGTGCCTCCGTTCCTCAAACCCATACATGGTCCAGTAAAGTACTGTTTGATGGCATCAAAAGCCACTGAGAGGTCCAAAAGGATGACGAGGGATGCACTACCCCAATCCACATCTCAACACAGGCTATCCATGGGAGTGACTAATGCTTCCTCTGTCCTACACCTGGGTCTGAACCTTGCCTGAAAAAGGTCCAAATAACCTACTTCTTCTAGGGTGCTGTGAAGTTTGTCTGCCACCATTGTCTTGACAACCTTCCCTAAAATATGGAAGTTGGAGGCCAAACGATAGTTATCCAAAACCCCTAGATCCAGCGATGGTCTCTTCAGAAGTGGGTATACTACAGCCTCCTTCAAGACTACTGGTTACTTCCCCTCCCACAAGGAGGTATTGGTAATTTCCCAGATCTAACCTGCTGCTTTTCTGCCTGCTCTCTGCAGCAGCCAGGACAGACAGGGGTCCAAGGAGAGGTGACAGATGACAACCTAACCCAAGATTACTTAAAACAAGCCAGTGGTTGCCATGGAGGATATGACCTTTCAAGCCTTACTGGAGCCAGCCTCCAGGGCAGGCAAGTTGAAGTCTCCCAACATCAAAAGGTGAGGGTTCTCCACCATCAGCCTGAAGACAAGCCCTAGCAGCTCAAGAAGGGGTCCTGCTGGGCAACAGGGTGATTGGTACACCAATGGAATTCCAAGTTGGTCTCTATAGCCCAACCTAATGAACAGGTACTCACACCCTGCTGTCTTAAGAACAGCATAAGGTGAATCTAATGATCAGAACTATTTCCTTCTTTCCAATCCTGAAGGACCCAAAACCTGACAGGGCAGATCTCTGATAAGGTGACTGTTGCTCTTGTCCATCCAGGTTTCAGAAATACATGTCAGGTCTGCTACTTCATCCAAACCAAGTTATAGCTGAAGGTAGTCTTGTAGCAGACAGATTTAGCATTAACCATCAGTACTTTGAGGCTAAGGACATCAATACTCCAGCTACCTGATCCCCAGGATGGAGCAAATGAATCAGAAGTTGAGATCCCCACAAGATTAGAGGCCTCCTTTCCCCAGGAACAGCCTATCCAGTGTCCCTGCCATACTTCCTTTGGCCCAACACTACTAGGATACAATTACAGGTAATCCTTGAGTTATGACTGTTCATTCTCTCCTCAGTAGTGGCAGCAGTGCTGGGGCTGAAGTAGAGGCCCAGGAACTTCATCAGTCTCAGCTGGCCACCACTGCCCTCAGACCTCTACTTCAGCCCCAGCGCCGCCATCACTGAGTGCCACCTCAAGCCCCACACCTGATCCAGCCACCCCAGCATCCCAGCACAAAGCACCAGCCGCCCCCACTGGCCTGTGCTCCGCTGAGCTTGCCAGCCCTGCCCCCCTGTGCTCCCACTGGCCTGGCAGGGCAGCAGGGCCAGTGAGCACAGGGTGGTAAGGCCAGCAGGGCTAGCAAATTGCAGAGTGGCAAAGCCAGCAGACGCAGTGGAGTGCAAGGTGGCCAAAAGGGCAGAGACAGGGAGGAGATAGGCGGATGGGGGGGTTGAAGACAAGGCAGTCCTTTATCTTACCAAGGCTTGGAGCTGGGAGGGACCAACTAGGAGTGGCTTGGATCAGGGTGGATCCTCGCCTAACAACTGGTGGGATTTGGTTAATGATGGCAACGGGGATTGCTGGGATTGCTGTCGCTAAGCGATGCAGTCACGTGACATCATGCTTTATGACTGCATCACTTAGGGAAAGAAATTCTGGTCCCAATTACCACTGTAACTCAAGGACTACCTGTACTTCTGCCCCTGCCCTGCCTGGGGTGATCATACAAATGGATGGTTTGTTTACCCTAGGTTTTTATGATACACTGAAGCAAACTAGCTATATAGGATGAGTTCACTCAATGTGCTAGACTAAAATAAGTTTGTATCTCAGTATGCTGTGTGAAGATAAGGATAGCTGTTATGTCAGAAGGGATCTAGGGGAAAGAAAGTCCTGCTGACTTCATGGACAAGTCCATGCAGTTTTCTTAGCAACAGTAGAGAAGGGTTTTGTCATTATTTTCTTCTTCAGTCTAACTTAACATCCTGGTAGTCCCTGGAGGTCTCCCATTCAAGTACTACCCAGGCCTGACCTTGCTTCCCTTCTGACCCCAGATGACATTAACCAGGCACTGCAACTTGTTGAGGCAAAAGGATTTACTTGGTGGTAAAACGACACCCTTAATTACATGTATTCAGTTTGATAGTTTGATAATGTAATACATAAAACTTTTGGTGACTATTGTTGAAATTAGATTTGCAAACTGTGTAACTTCCAAGTAAATATGCCTAAACATTCAGAAGTTATACATATTTGGAAGTATTAGTACTTAGAAGTAGTATTTGGATTGTTGTTGTTCAGTTGTTAACTCGTGTCCGACTCTTCGTGACCCCATGAACCATATCGCGCCAGGCTTTCCTGTCCTTCACTACCTCCTGGAGTTAGCTCAATTTCATGTTCATTGCTTCGGTAATGCTATCTAACCTCTCATCCTCTGCCGTCCCCTTCTCCTTTTGCCTTCAATCTTT